AGATCGTTAAAACTCATAAGTTTAAAACTCCTAACTTGTTTTTTGAAAATTTGTATTTTGAATATTTATGCCAACAACCTAAAAAAAATGACATTTGAAAATTCAGATACTAGTATTTGAACTAGATTATTAAATTTCAATATACAAAGTCAGTTTGAGGTTTTCGAAACTCAGAATTTTATGTACATGTATAAAAATTCTTTAATGTGAGGCAATACCTTCCTCAGAAATCTATTTTGTATATCTTTGTTATATATGAAAACTATTTAAAATCATAATTACCCTGTGATTTCTAAACTGGTTTCTAATTGTCTTTAAAAATTTACAATGCTAAAAATTTTGATTTTGGCAATTGAAGTTTTTTCTCCCAAAAGGATTATATAGGCAACCATCCTCTGGTGTCTAGCACAAATGACTAGTAAGGTACCTCAATACTTGTAAAAGTAGCATTACTTCAATGACAAAATCTCGAAAAAAATATATATCATTTAGGAAATTATCGTCTTGTCCTTAAACTTTATATCAGAAAATTGAATTATTAAGTGATACACGATATGTACATGTGTCTCAGAAAAATGCGTTTTCACTTACTGGAGCTCCAGAAAATGTTTTCGCCGACGCTGGAAAACCGGCTAGACCTTCTGTTTGGATTATGGCCCTTGATGCATTTACTTGCCCAGTTTCTTGCCATAGTTGCTAATTCCCTATTCCACACCTAAAGAAATTAAAGAGAAACATATTCCTAAATTATTATATGAATATATATGACCTAGATCTCTTAAAGAGATTGGAAATATTTAGAAAGAATTTATAAAATAACTGAATTCTTCATTACGTTGACAAGCAAATCTTTGGTAACATGTAGCAAAAATTCATTTTTGCAGCATTTAATATTAATTAAGGTCTTCCGTTTCAGACGGAAGACCTTATAGTGATTCTACTGTTTCTTTTTATTATTATTATTATTATTTTTTTTTTTTTTCCCCCTTTTGTTTTTGACGATTTCTCAGAGATGACTGGACGGATTCAGGTGAAATTTTCAGAGATGATAGACAGTCAAAATATCTTTCAAATGCAGTTTTCAATTTTTCAAAATTCACTTCCGGTCGTCAGATATGTCCGATTTCCGGTTTTTTCGAAAAAAGTTTTGTCCGAGTCATATCTCAGAAACGGTAAGAGATGAAGACACCAAACTTATATGAGTAATAGATCTTGATAAGTAGGCAAAACCAATCGGGTTAAGATCGTCCGTCGTCACTTCCGGTCGTCACAGGAAGTGATCAAAGAAATGGAAAATTTCAACTTTTCTTTTATGAAATTTTTTTTGCCTCATATTCTAGCATCTTATTTGTAGTTTTGAAATATATCAGTCCCACCGGAAACAAAAACGACAACTTCCGGTTATAAGAGAAAAACTGCATATTTTCAGTATTTTTCTTTCCCAAAAATATTTTTCATAGATAAAGTATTTGTAATGATTTTTGGACATGTTATTCAGACTGCAAATGTCTACAGTAACGTCAAATATCTTTGTAAAATTCACTTCCGGTCGCGTGATTTCCTTTCCTCAAAATGAGAACTTATCATAGCTAGATCTCGTAAACGGAAAAAGATTAAGACACCAAACTTATACAAATGGTAGATCTTGATGAGTAGGCAAATTCAGTTTTGATAAGATTGTCCGCCGTCACTTCCGGTCGTCACAGGAAGTGTTCTAGAAAATCAAAATTTTCAAATATTCTTTTATTAAACTTTTTGGGCATGACGTTATACTATCTTATTTGTATTTTTAAAATATATCAGTCCAACCGGAAATAAAAACGTCAACTTCCGGTTTTAAGACAAAAACTGCATTATTTTAGTATTTTTCTTTCTCCTAAATAATTCTTACACATGACATATTTGTTACAATTTTTGGATATGTAATTCAGACTGCAAATATCTACAGGAAGGTCAAATATCTTTGTTAAATTCACTTCCGGTTGCGTGATTTTCTGTCCTCAAATTGAGAAGTTATCATAGCTAGATCTCGTAAACAATAAGAGATTAAGACACCAAACTATTTCAAGTGGTAGACCTTGATGAGTAGGCAAAACCAGTTGGGATAACATTGTCCGCCGTCACTTCCGGTTGTCACAGGAAGTGATCAAAGAAATCGAAAAATTCAACTTTTCTTATAGAAATTTTTTGCATCACATTATAGCATCTTATTTGTAGGTTTGAAATATGATAGTATCACCGGAAACAAAATCAACAACTTTCGGTTAAAAGAGAAAAACTACATTATTTGAATATTTTTCTTTCCCATAAATACTTTTTATAGTTAAAGTATTTGTAATGATTTTTGGATATGTTATTCAGACTGCAAATGTCTACAGTAATGTCTAATTTCTCAGTAAAATTCACTTCCTGTCGCGAAAATTCCTGTCCTCAAAATCAGAAGTTATCATTACAACATCTCGTTAACGGTAAGAGATTGAGAAAGCAAACTACTAGGGGTGGTAGACCTTGATGAGTAGACAAATCCTTTGAGTTTAAGATCATCCACCGTCACTTCCGGTTGTCACAGGAAGTGATCAAAGAAATCAAAATTTTAAACTTTTCTTTATGGAATCTTTCTTAGTATTACCTTAATAGCTTTTTACTAGTAGTTTCGAAATATGTCAGTCCCATTGGAAACAAAAACGACGACTTCTGGTTATGAGAGAAAAACTGCATAAATTGAGTTTCTTACTCTCCCATAAATATCTTTTATGAAAATATCCTTCTTACAGATAAATAGAGGAGAACGGAAGACCTTCTTTGTTGCTGTAGCAACAAGAGTTTCTAGTATTCTTACTATTTTCGTATTGACCAACTTCTGGAAATGACCTTTGTCCGGTCCATTTCTCCCGAACAGCTTAAGATATGAAAGTTTACTGTGTCGGATATCATAGATCATGACTTGAAGATGTGTCGAACAACATTTTGTCCGTCGTCAATTCTTCCGGTCGTCCTGAAAAAGGGGATTAAAAGTCGATTTTTTAAATTTCTTTGTCTTTCTTTCTATCTTTTTCTGTGATATTCGTGGCATAAGTAAAGGCCCCTATTTGCTGATTTAACGTATAACCAGTTTCTTGATTTGATAAAGAAGAAATTAAATATCTTTGAATGTCTTAGAACTTTCGCAAGCGTAGGTTCAACGTTTCCTTAAACACTAAAAAATATTCATTTCATTTTCTCATAAATAGGCTGCGCGGGTAATACATATGGTGCCATTGTGCAGGTAAGGTCTTCCCTGTGATGGGGAATGGACCTGTAGAAAACCTTCTCTGGTTCCACAGAGTCGTGTTTTTAGCTAGTAAAATGTATGAAACATATATCATGTGTGTGCATCTTATACCCCGCCCCCATTTTTTTTTTTGAAAACTGTAAGAAACCTAGCCCCCACCTTTCTCACTTATTGAAATGAATGTTAATTCCGCTTTAATGTTTTACATTCTACATAAAATGACCTTGACATTTATATAACAAGGCACTTTTTTTTAAAGTTAAGAAAATGATAAGGCTAAATTCTTTCTACAAAATAATGGTAATTTACAAGTCTATATTCAAGACAGCCCCCCCCCCCCCTCGGAAGCGCGCAGCCAGGTAGAATTCGCAGATATAACATATACAACTTACAAGTAACGTTTTAAAAGTTTCATTCATAAAAAAATTTAGTTCCCCTTATGTCATCTGATAATTTGCTATCATTCATTCTTCCTATGTTTTGTCTGTAGAATTTATAATTATTTCATTAAAAAATCAAAGTACTGAAAGTACTGATAGGCGGAAGCATGGTTGCAAAAATGTAATACGACACTAGTATAAAGGTATTGAAGTAAAGGGGCCTATTAACATGTTGTTGGATTTTAGTATTGAAGATAAGGGATAAATTATCTCTTTTTTGGAGGGGTATAAGAAAACGTGAAGTCAATGATAAAAGTTGTAAACATTTTGTTTTAGTCAAGTAATAAAGTTTATAAGTGAAAGTAACATCGTAAACTGAAGGAATTATCTACCGTATGTAAAATGATTACTTATGGACAATTGAAAACATAAAATATCACAACTGTTTCTGGTCATTTTGTGTAAATTGAAATAGTAAGAATGAAACAACATGTATTGATTAAAAACAAATTTAAGAAGGTTGTTCACGTTAAACGTAATAGTTTGTCCAAAACTGAGATTATGGTATAATAAGACACAAACAATATATACTATATACAGGTAATCATATCCCGTGGGTTACTGTTTTAATGGCCCCGGGTCGAAAGAACAGGGGTATATTGTTTTTGTCCTTTCTGTCTTTCTGTTTGTCCCACAACTTTAACCTAACCAATAACTATTGAGTGGTTGGGGCTATGGTTCTCATAATTCATAGGTGTGTTACTTGTGACATGACCTTTCTTTGGCCACCACCAAATTTGACCTCTTCACCTTGGAGTTTGACCTACTTTTATTTCATTTGTTATCAACTTTAACTTTCACCATAACTTTTAAACAGATCGAGACTTTATATTTAAAATGCTTACTCCACTAAATAAGCAATTTCAACTGACACTAAGGACAATGACCTTTTGACCTTGACTGTGACCTACATGCTAAAAATAGATTTTTCGAACTTTCGGTATAACTTTTGAACCATAAGTGATAGAGATTTTATACTTGGTATGCCTACTTCACTAATCAAGTGCTTTCAAACGACAGCGAGGTCAATGACCTTTTGACCTTGACTGTAACCTTTATGCTAAGAATAGCTTTTTCGAACTTTGTTGCTGCCGGGGGCACAGTGTTTCACGAACACATCTTGTATAAGATTTTAAATTGTACAATGTACTTTTCAAATTTACAGGAGCGATAAGAAATTATAAGAATTTATCAGTTAAAGAGGTGGGTAAAGAATAAAATACACTGTGTATAAATCATGAGGAGTATAGCGCGTGTTTGATAAACAAGGAATACACAGATATGGAACAAAAAAGGGACTATCTTTTATTTATAGACATATGCAACATAGTTTGAACTTAATTGCATTTTCCCGTGGGATAGAGAGGTCCAATACAAGAAGGAACGTGTGCTAAATTTTATTGTCTATGAATACTTTTGTACATGTTTTGAAACAAGTAAACAGTAATAATGAAATCAACTTTGTTCGGTAATATTTGTATATTTTCTTTTAAGTAAATGGACATGTTTTTCAAACTCTCTTGCAATGAGTTACTAATATTTTGAATTTCTGATGACACTGTAATCTTAATTAAGAAAAATTATCAGTTGGTAAGGTAAATTGTATAGGTCCTTAATAATTCAGAAAATACAAAACACAATCTGGTGTAACAAATCATAACTGTAACTGATAAAGCTGCACAATGTTAAGCAGAGCTTGTGGTATAATGTATTTATTACATGTATTATTGTGTTGGTTTTGTATATTACAATTAACAACATGTTGCACAACTTGTTTAACATATGTACAGAATGCTTATGAGTGATAACAAGTTTCTAATTATACATGAAGTAAATGAAAAAAATGTGGAAACATAACAGCAAACCAACAGAAAAATTTCACTATGTTTCTAAAATCGAAGTAAAGGAAACTACGTTCAAATGTGTGCTGTAGTAGAAATCAATAAACAGTAAATTATGTCCAACTTGGACAAATATGATAAACAAAAATTTCAAAAACTGAATGTTGAAACTGAAATCTTCCATCTCATTGTAAAAGACAAGATTTCAAATTATAAAATATGTAGATTTCACAATTGTACTAAGACAGCAAAAATATGATTTGCATGAACATATTGCAGAACATCTTTCTTTAAATTTAACTGAGGAGAGAACAGAATATGAAAAAAAATTGCAAGTTGATGTCAAAGGAAGACATATTTATGAAAATATTAACATGCACATTTTTGTACTTATGCAATTATAAATGCATTAACAATATATGTTTGTTGACTATTTCACTGATTTGTACAATTTTTTTGCATTATTAGTAGCAATTAAAACAAGAATTAATTCAAAGTTTATTAAGCATTTCAAGATGGCTCCAAAGGTACTACAAAAGTCCATCATGCCCAGACTACTGCCTCTTCCAGTAATTTTTCCTACAAAATGTAAATATATAGTAAGTTAAAACATCTCATGATACTTTACAATACATCTGACTCTTTATCACGGAAATGAAGGATTTCAAATTACCCCCCCCTTTAATGTATATAAAGAACACAGGATATGGATTGATATAAAGTTATGATATATGGAGAATTTAAAGAACTTTAAAAAGGAAATAAATCATCAAATACACTTTCAAATAAAATATTTATTTTTGCCAACTTGCCATCATAGGAAGAATAATTCTTAAAAAACAGAATATTTCTATAATGATTCTTAAACACATACTTATAGATTTTTCTTCATGAGATATCATATCATAATCAGTATGTCATAATCTGATTTAGATATACCCACCTTCAGAATAATGTTTCTAGGTATATCTTCTTCTGCCATTCTGATAAGAAGGGACAAGGTGTGTTATTTTCACAAATTCACCAATCTTAATGATCCTTCTTTCCCTTTCCGTCCATTGGGGCACAATCATACCATGACCATCATCTTGCAGAATAAGATTTCTTGCACATCTGTCAGTCCAACTTTAACAGTTATGACTGTGTCATACCTTAAACATTATGAAAGAAGAAGTGTCCTTGATTTGCATAAATACTTTCAAATACATGTAAATTATTATTTTTTGGAAGAACATTTGTTATATATATACATATATAATATCAACCGTATGTATCATAATTCTTACACTCATACTTATAATCGATTTTTCTTTATAAAATATAATAAAATTAGTTAAAGTATACTCACCTTCATATGTTGTGGTGGGTTTTGTTTCCTTCTGTCATTCAGAAGCGGCAGAAGGTGAAGTTTCCACATATTCACCAATCTTAATGGCCTCCCTTTTCCTCCTTGGGGATAAAGGTAAGGCTGTTGTTGATCCCTCTTGTAGGATAAAGTCATCTAGTTTCTTTGCAGTCATCTTAAAGTATAAACAGGTAATGTGTTTATAAAATTTCAAGCATATTTCAAAAATAAAATTGTAAATATCTACATATTTACATAGTGCCAGGCTACCCGAGGTAGGTAAATAAAGCTACGTAGTTAATTCTACCTACGTAGCTAAATGTACTGATTGTACTGGACCTGGTGCTATAATTCCAAATTTTTCTGTTATGTTGTACACATAAACAAAGTAAAATTCGTTAATTTCTTCTATACAGCAAATTTATTTACATACCTCAGCCTTTGGTTTTTATTTCAAGTTACTCCTATTAATTTTATGAAAGCAATGCAGATATAGTTTAGGAGTTACTTAAATTTAGGGTGTGTTACCTTGTAAATGTCGAAGGAAAGGAATAGCTCTTTGTTGTACTTCACGTGGGTTTGTTGACAGATTTTCACGATTCCGTTGAACAAATACTGTAATAGATTTCAACAGATAATTGTTATTTATTAATTATGTGAACACAATTTCAACAAGACGCTAGCCATGAGATTAAAAGGAAAATGAAATAACCTAAGTAAACAATATTAGTCATTTTAAACAGCTCGTGCTTTAAACTATTCGATTCGATGTCGATATTTTTTCGGATCACAATGTCAATGATCAACGATTGCTTAAAAGAGTAGTCTATAATATATGCAAATATATTATATATGTATATGTTCAAACAATAATTCCTCAAATAATTAGTCCTTCTGGCTAAACAAGAAATAAATAATGAGTGCGATCAAGACAATGTCACGTATCAAGTTACGATGAGCATGCCTGCTGAGTGGGAAACATATTTCAAGGTTAAACGATAACAGATAAACTAATCTAACAACGTTTGTTACCTTGTATATGTCGAAGAAAAGGCTTATCACTTCCAATTAGCTCTTTTGTTTCATTCCACGTGGGTTTGTTGACAAATTTTCACGCTTCGGTTTTCAAAGGCTGTTTTCATTAATGGATGCAATCTTATCATGTTTAGATTACTACGCAAAAGTGGTAAAAAGGATCGTATTTAAATTAAAGACTAATAACTTATAAATAATTACCACTTTTTTTCTTAATTAAAAGATTAAAGTAAAAGGTAGTTCCAATAGTATGGAAAGCCGTAGGGTACCCCCACATTATTATTATTTTTTCCTATATAATTATACCAAAAATAATTATATCATACAAAACTAAAAATCTTGCTTTTTTACAACATTTTATTATTTTCCTGCAACATTTATATCTTGTCAGTTAAATGTGTATACATTATTTTATTTTCTTCTCCAATCATAATTATTCACACTTTACAATAATAACCTTGCCAGTTAATGTGGACACGATATTATACATGTAATTGTAGATAAAAAAAAAAAAAAAAAAAAAAAAAAAAAAAAAAAAAATTTCTTTTTTTTTTTTTATTTTGTACACATCTACTTTTTTTTTAATTTTACTTCAAGATCATAATTATTCTTATTTCATCATTTTATAACATTACATCCCCTGTAATAATAATGTAGTGATTGTTTGTTTATTTAAAAAAAAAAAAAAAAAAAAAAAAAAAACCTTAAAACAATTATTTCCGAAATCTTCGTTATATAATCTTTGCAACAATAATAATGATGTAAACGGGACTTTGTTTTATTTTCAACAGGAAAGATAACTTCTTTTTTAGTGACAGTAACGAAAACTCCCCTCTCCACAATAATTATAAGATTGTGACTGCCGATTTTATTATTTCTAGCGTGACGGATACAAGCGTTAAAGTGAGAGAGATTTTCCTACATTATTTGAAGCGTGAAGTTTTTATTATTTGAAGCGTAAAGTTTTTATTATTTGAAGCGTGAAGTTTTTATTATTTGAAGCGTGAAGATTTTATTATTTCAAGT